AGAGAGAGAGAGAGAGAGAGAGAGAGAGAGAGAGAGAGAGAGAGCAGCAGCAGAGGATAAGAGGGCGAGATGGCAGAGCCGGCAGCGGCGGCGGCGGCGGCGGCGGTCGTGGCGCCGGCGATCCGCCGATCGAGAAATCCGACGCGTTGCATCTGCATCTGCAGCGCGTAGGTCGCGCACACGTCGATCCGTGGGCTTGAATAAATTATTGCACGGCTGATCGATCGTCATGGAAAAGTCACACGTCCATCGATCGCTTTCGCGCTCGCCGACCGCGCGAGAATGCGCGACTACGATCTGCATAATCGCGTCAACAGCCGCCTCCATTAAAGTTTAATTAAAATCGCGGCAGAGTCTCTTCGCGCGGACTACTTAAACTCGCGGTCGCGTGTGATGTAAGTGTAAGGAGGAGGTCGCGAAACATCAATTTCTCTCTCTTTAGCGCTCCGCCTGAGTCCAATGTGCCGAGCTGATGCCGGTTAGAAGTACGCAATGCATGTTTGCGCATGCAATTGTTGCACAAACGGAGCGTTACGTCAGCTCGTTTGATAATTCGCGCGTCGCGCAGATGGTCTCGCGTTTCTCGACACGCGCGCGTATCTTCGGATTTTTCTACGCGAGCACGCCCGTGGGTCGAGCAGAGCACCGGCGAGACGACGGGCGCCGGGTGGGTGTCGCGAGAGTTGGCGTAAGCTGCGCGTGCGATGACAAGCGTCTTCGGCAGCGATACTAAAATCAGCGAAATTAGTCGCCGCCTCGTGGAATCCGACTCTACTCGGGTGGGAAGAGGCAGGGAGGAAAAGAGCGAGAAAGACAGGCGCGACCAGGAGTGAACGCGAGCGAGCGAGACACGAGAAAGAGACGCGGGAATATTATAATCCTCTCTCTCTCTCTCTTTCTCTTGGTCGGAACCCGTGCGCGCCAGATGGTACCAGCTGGATGACGCATCAAAGCAGAAAACCTCCCGTGTCCGAGGCGAAGCGCGCGCGGCGGTTCCGCCCACGGAATCGCGAGGAAAACACGTGTGCCGCACCGCGTTCGCCGTTCGTCACGTTGCGTCCGCGCGGCGAACGCAGCAATCTCGTGCGTGCGCGACGTAGGCGCGCCGCGCACGTTATTTATTCGCGCGAGGAGACACGAATGATTTCTACCTCTGTGATTTAAGAGCCTCAAGTGTGACTTAACTAACGATAATTAATATCCCCCATATCCTTCTCTTCCTTTACTAACTCTGCGAGTTAGCAACCAGGATCACTTGTAGTCGGACTATTCCGAGAAATTCTCCTCTACAGGAAATAATCTTATAAAAATCATTAAAAATAGAATTCTTAAAAATTTGTTTTTCGTTAAAAAAAAGTTACGTGATCTTCAACTAGGAGAAGCAAGGAATTTTTTTCGAGCATTCTAAAAGGAGAAAGAACGATCGAGAATGAGTCACATAGTGATTCCGGTTGCCACTCCAAAGATAGCGAAAATTAGCGAGTTAATTTAGCTAGTTATCGCACGCACAGCTGACACAAAACTCATCCGCATTGTTCTTTTGTTTTTTTCTTTTTATAGCCGGTGTCATGGCAGATTCCGAGAGAGACAGCGCGTCCTGCAGCGGTGGCGAAGAGGACAGCAGGTCGGACCTGCATTCGCCCAGCGCGTCGGAGGACAGCGTGGAGGTGCAGGTGACGCCGATTTCTCTGCGGAACAAACGGAAATTAGCAGAACCGCGCAAGATCCAGGAGCCCAGCACGGCGCCGTTGAAGAAGCGGCGATTCCATCAGATCGAGGAAACAGTCGTGGACGAGGAGAGCAGATCAATGAGCACACCGAGCCCCTTCAGACCTTGGATTATTCCCCGCACGAGCAACGAAACGCCCAAAACATCCACGACGACGTCGACGATGCCATCGACAGTGTCCAGCGCGACAACAACGACGACGTCGACAACAACGTCGACAATTCCGTCGGCGAAGACTGCGCCTGAGCAAATCAACGGTCAATCACTCGCGGAAGCGGAGAGGAGAAATCATGAGGAAGGTCGGAACATGGATGAGACGCTGCGGAGGCTGCAAGAAACTTTGCAGAGAATAGAACAAGATACCGGTCATAACCGATCAGTCGTGTTATCTCGACGGGAGTCCCGTCACAGGCCCGAGTCACCGCCGCAGTCACCGGCGGCGCCGTCTGCGCCGCCGATGTCCTTGAAGCATCCTAGGTTGCAGGAAGAGCCATTATCCTTGGTCATGCGAGACGAAGCGCTCCGAGTGCCGTCGCACCCCGCGGTGAGCGGCAGCTACGAGAAGACGCCGTCGTACATGATGGAGCATCTCCTGGCATCGTCCGCGTCATCGACGCCGGCGGCAGCGACGACGACGTCGTCGTCGTCCGAGTCCCACCGCAATCACCGAGACCACTTGAGTCCTCCGCAAGGAGGAGGACCTCATCAACGTCACCATGCAGCGCCCACCGTTGTGGTCAGCAGCGCTTCCTCTTCGTCGTCGCTGTCGCACGCCTCCTCCTCGAGGCATCAGCATCAGAACAACGGCGGCAGCGGCGGCGGCGGCGGCGGCGGTCAACAGAGGAACTACAAGAACATGACGAGGGAGAGACGAATAGAGGCGAACGCCCGGGAACGCACGCGGGTGCACACCATCAGCGCGGCTTTCGACACCCTGAGACGCGCCATACCCGCGTACTCGCACAACCAGAAGCTGTCGAAGCTGTCGGTGCTGAGGATCGCATGTAGCTACATCGTCACGCTCACCAAGATCCGCAAAATGCTGGACGGAGACGCGACGAGCGGCGCCTCCCTCGCCACCTGCGTGGATCAGGTCTCCAGGACCATCCAGACGGAGGGGAAGCTCAGGAAGCGAAAGGACGACTGAACCGACCCGATGTGAACATCACTTGGACAACGTTTACGGGGCAATCCGAGAAGAGCGAGGTCGCGAAACGAAGAATGAACCACTCGGAACTTGGCTTACAAGCGAGCGTATAGGGATAATTCCCTGGAAGTAGGGCGAATTTTCTACTTCATATTGCCAAACGCTTATTCGTCTTCTATTCTCGATGTCATTCGATCCAAGGGGACAGGGAGCGAGAAGGGGAGAAAGAGAAAGGTGGCGATCTAAAATTAATTAAGCTGTTAGCCTAAGTGAAACCGACAACGTCGGCGACACCGTCGACGCGCGATTGTCTCGATTAGTTCTCGTACGAAACCAAACGGAAGTGCGAACCGAGGAGTTCGCGATCGTTTCACGATTTCAGAGATGTTCACGGGCACGGCGGAAAGATCTGCGGGAGAAGACACGCAGAGACGAGAGGGAGAAATTTCATTGTTCACATGCGTAAAACGTTACGGGATTATTGCACGCGCGTCACGCGTTAATGCTGTACATACAATTGTAAAGTGCGTTTTTCGGAATCGTAATGAGCGAATCTTAGATCTTAACGGATTCTCAAAAGGGAGTGAGAGGAGGGAATTTCTGGCGGCGCCCGACGAGGCCACCTACATTTTCCGATATAGCAGCTGCGCAACCAGACAATAAATCTTTAGAAAGATCCTCATACTTAGAGAGACGGCGCTTAGTGCGGTAAGCGCCGCTCGTTCGTTCCGCTGCATCGCGGGAATTACGGCGACGCGCGAATGTTTATGCGGGACTCGAAGAATACACGGTAGTAGCTAGTCTGAGGCCCGGCTTAACCCTTTCGGGACGTCTCCGTTCGCCCTCACCTAAATTTACCGATGAGTCCCGCGAGACGCGGATCTCCGTCGCCGTGGGAGAGAACTTTACGCTTCAAAATTGCGAGAGACTCCACGAGAGTCGCGCCGATACGCATCGTGGCGAATTATTCTTCCAAATAATCTCAGGTTTCGCTTCTCGAAATTTCGAATCGAAAGCCGCGATGAGGAAGGTATCTGGTATCCCGCAGGAGCCTTGAGTGCTCCACGAGAGAGCCGGCGGCCTCTCGAAAGGGTTAAAAGCGCGAGACACGCGAGCGCGAAGGCGAATTCGCGTCGCCCGCAGCGGTGATTTCCAAACTGCGCGATTCACGAGGTGCATACTTATCTCGCCGCTCGAAAGGGATCGGTCGTCTGCAATCTGTTGCGCCGGTCGCGTTCGCGCGTTTACGAAACCGCCGATCTAGAACGGCGCGCGGAGCGCGTCCGAGCGAAAAAGGACGATAAAAGAGACGAAGACAATAATAGCGCTGCTTGCGGCTTACTTGCGCGACGAGGGACGGGGAGTTGGCGTTACATGTACATTACACGTAGCATAACGACTAAGCGATCCGCCGCAATCGAAGCTACAAACGGTATCGTCTTCCCACGAGAGAGCAAGTCGGATGAAAAGGAGAAAAGAATGTCGTCGTGCGACACAGGAGGAGCGACCGGCTTCTACGCCATTAAATTGGCGATCGAAGAGAAGACATCGTCGAGACAGCCCTTGTTAAGGAGGACGGCAGTTTTATCTCTGAAATACATCTAGATTCTGACTAATGAAGCGCGTTGTATCGTTAACGAAGGATCTACCGAATGCACTGCGAACGAGCACGCGACAGGAAGGCGTTACCTAAAAATCCTAAACAAGGTCTGCCTAAAAAAGCTGATCGGGTAGAGGAGTTAGCGTGTGTTCACACTGTTTTTTCGGTCGCGCAGTCTCTCGTCTTCGACTGCGTCGAACCGTGTACATAGATGATAATGATAATGATGATAATAATAATAACAACGACGTTACGACGTAAGAGTAAGTAATTACGTTATAGTAATCGGACACGTGTTATGTGGCGCGAGCACATTTCTACGGCCTTACGCGGCGATGCATCTCGACTACGTTCGTGAGATAACCGAGATATGTACCTTTCTATGTTATAAGGCGACTACAAGTAAAGTTCAAACGGACGTTCTGCAAAACAAATTGCGTCTTTTCTTTTCGCATCGACTTTTCCTTCCTCTCCTTTCCTCCTTCGTTTTTCTCACGGGAAATACACACATGCACGAGATCCGAGCCGAAATTTTGATCCTGCTTTCGGCTGCAAAATATTCTACTTAACTACTAAAAACTTGTGATCCTATTCTGGTACTCTCTCTGAAATCTATATCTATTATTTATTTAACTTAAACCTATATATATCAATATTTTTTTGATTATATTCCACTTATTAACCACTTTAAAACCCAATGGACACAATTATGTACATTTACTTTTGACCCCAAGCTGTGGAACAGTGATTTTCTCGCTAAAGAAACCAATGCAATGATCGTGTGCAGAGCAAAATCGTTAACATTGTATGTGTGATTCTGCTGTCGAGCCCAATATTCCATTTAATGCCCACTTTGATATTCTGAAGCCTGCATCAACTTCGTTTGCCTCTATTTCACTAACTTTACCGAGAGGTTCTCTTCAGAACTTACAAATGGCATTTTGTACGTTTTCTGTCATTTGCGGAAGCGCTGAGTAGAGTTTCAATTTCTATGGAATATTAATGAAACGTATACTGAGAGAGAGAGAAAGAGAGAGAGATTCTTCAGAATACATGTTACAAAGTTACACACATGTTACAAAGTTGAGCCGAAAGTAGAGCCGAAATTTCGACTCGGAAATCCACGGTGTAAGCTGCAGGAAGAGAAGGTTGCTGAAGTACGTAAACCAGTCGCAGCCAGATTTTGCGAGTTTGCCTAAGCGCCTGACGTGGGATCGTGGTTGTGTTATCGCAACGACGAGCTAAAAGTGGATCTAACAGCGGCTTGTAAAAACATACAGTGCACACGCGCGCGGGATCTATTCAGGTGTAACGACACCGAACGCACCGTCGACGCGACACCAGGGCGGCGTTCCTCCACCCGTTCCCCGGCCCGCGAGCCCGCACCACATCTGGCAGGCCGGCAGATAACGATATCGACCGACAAATCCAATCGCGTTACCTGCAACGATACACACTGTACGCGCGGTGAGAACGAGCACCACCGCTCTCTCGATCGGCTGTTCGCTCGTCGACGAGTGCAGTCGTCGCGAAACCGCGATCGCGTCCCGCATTCCTTTATTTACGACAGTTATGCGCGGCATCTCTCTAAAATTGCGCTCGCTCGCGAAGATTCTCGTGTTTCTTTATCGATCTCGATCTCGGGTATCACGAGCTTGTCTCGTTTTTCAATCTGCGGCATATGTTGCGAGCAAAATTGTCGAGGAAGAGACAGGACCGCTTTAACATTCCCGGCCGCGCAAATTTTCCGGCTGACATCGAAACGATTGCAACATCGCGTGCTCGTTAAAACGGCAGAGAGAACGTAAAAAAACACATATATATATATATATATATATATATATATA